CCCCAAAACCCCAAAACCCCAAAACCCCAAAACCCCGTAGTTCGAGATCAAGATTGAAAATTATAATCACTCAGACTAATCATCATAAATAAAGAATGGATAAAGCACATTCCTGGAAAGCTTGGGCAATTTGTTTGGCGGCTTTGGAGAAAAATCTTCTAACTCTTGTGGAGCTTCATGGAACGAGATGGATACCTGGAAGTTGAAGTCTTGTGTTTCTGTATTTACTAGTTCGGTGTACTTCCAGACAATTCTTTCAGGGATCAACCTAACTCTGGAGATTTTGTATTGAGGGTTTTCATCAACTCCAAGACGCGTGTAGTATATTTTTAAAGAATAAGCTCCATTCCATGTGCACGTGTTTGTAGTACTACCAATCCATGCAGCTGTGGTTTCAAGAGAACTGACATATTCCACATCTATCCAATCAAGAGGGAAATGAGGATTAGAATTTCCATATATGCCGACTTTCTTCAAATTAGTTTTCAAATTGTTGATTAATGCAACTTGTGCAGATTGAGTAGTGCAGAAAGTTTCTAATTGAGTTGCTGTATAACTCAGTTTTCAACCATACATTGAGCCATCTCCGAAGGTCAGATAAGGATCTCTATAATAGCTGTAAGAATCAGCATCGAAGTTAGTAGTGGCATCAATGATACATTCTCCATTATCTTTGGCTCCATATAGCTGAAAACCTTGCTCTTTAGCCTTTATATATGCTCTATTGCTGCTGTCAGTAGCACTAGTTCCTGCTAGAATAGGGTATCCTTTCTTGTATCCTGGGCTTCCGCTTTGGATTCTACTATTCGAAGATTCTTTGAACGTGAAAGAGTAGATTTGTTCATAAGCCAAGGTATTTGCTCAAGTTCCACTAATAGTTGCTTCAAAAACAACATTAGCACTGATAGAAGTAATCTGGCTTCCGCCTGACGTATAAGCAATATAATGGATTTCTTTTGGAACATTTGTGCAAGTACAAGTAGTTGTGCCACTTTTAGAAGCAATTTGATTTGTTGCAGGGAAAGTGAAAGCTTTATTAATGGTCTTATCAGCTGCAACAGACCAAGTATTCAAACTTGTAGCAGTCACTGTAGTACTTGATGTAGCTTGGATCGTCGGTAATAATGTAAATGATGGAACCATTGTTTCTGAACTGCAACCATCATAAGTCGTCAATCTTGTACATGAAGTTGAATTTCTATTTTGCATAAACTTAACAGCTCTTGTCTCTTCTCACACACCGAACGAGTTTGGAGTCGGAAGTTTGAACTTTGTATTCAAGTCTTGGAATAAATTATCTCCTAAATTATATAGACTCGTAGTGTTCTCTTTCGTTATTTCTAAAGGAGCCGAGAAATTATCCTCTGCTTCATCAGCTTCATTATTAAATTGAGCTTCGTTCGTTACAGTAAAGGTTTTCTCAACAAATCCTTCAGGCTTAGATTCTCTTTTGAATAAGATGCATCCAAATGAGCCGAGACGATTAGTGAAGATTCTATATCCATCTTGTAAATCTGAAAGTCTTGCGACTACATCTCTATCATATCATTCTCCTGCTGATCTGATTGTATTGCTGTCTCCTTCATAAAGACATGAAAACTCTCTGTTCTCCCATTTTTGTTTTAGATCAGAGGAACAGTCGTCATCTCATCAGCAGTTCACATCACATGAATTAGTTGTTAAATCGCATTTACAGTTGTCAAAGTCTCCATTAGAACGATCAGAGGCAAGATTCCTTCTTTGAGCTTGGCTATTCTCTTCCTCAATGGAGGTAACTCTTGATATATTGTCTTCTGTATAATTATCTCCACTTTCACCTCTACAAGTGACCATCACCAAAGCCACAACGACCACAACTACTCTCGCCAACCTTCTTCTTGTCCACTTAAACTTTGGCGCAATTCCAACTTTCATATTTAAATTATGTTATATTCTCACGGGGTTTTGGGGTTTTGGGGTTTTGGGGTTTTGGGG